CCACAGTGTATTCATGTGGTGCATCATAAATACATACCATGCTTAATGGTTAATTAAAACGTAATTGATTTTTTTAAGAATGAATGGTAGATCATGCATGTCTCACCTATCCATTGGTGCAGTGTGTGTCAGGCACTGATGAGTATACAATAGACAACAAGGTAGATGTGGTCCTGCCCCCTGGAGACTGGCATGCTATTGGAAAAAACAAATATTTTTAAAGTAAATAAAATAGTCACAAACTGTGAAAAATGCTAACAAGGAGACAAACAAAATTGGCCTGGAGAGCCCTGGCTTGGATGGACGCGTCAGAAATGTCCTGCGGAGAGCCAGGGGAAGGACCTTCCAGGGAGAGGGAACCGCAGGAGCTGAGTCCTCTAGGCAGGAAGGCCACTGCCTGCTGAAGGGTCAGAAGAAAGAGGAGAGTCGCTGTTGCAGAGTGAAGGAGGGAGACAAGCCGGGAAGGGGGTGGGGCCCAGAGCCTGTAGAGCTCAGCAGGCCCTGCCTGGAGAGCTGGACTTTATCCTCAGTACACTGGAAGGCAGTGGAAGGTTTTAAGCAGGGGCATAGCATGGTTCTACTGATGTTTTAAGCTCACTCTGACCTTGTGTAAGAGACTGGTTTGGATGGGGAGAATGAAAGCAGGAAGACCAGCTAGGAGGCTGTGGCAGTAACTGGATACCTCAGATGGATGCTGTTCTTTGAGACCCAGGTGGGGCAGCCGAGGTGGAGAGAAGTGGATGGATTTGGGATTTCATTAGCAAAACCAACAGCTAATGGAATGGATATGGGCATGAGAAAAGGTTCTGGCCTTAGTACCTGGGTGGACAGTGGTGCTGTTTACTGAGATGGGATGACTGAGGGACAAGTTTGGAGGAAGGGGATAGGAGAGTTAATGAAAAGTTCCATTTGGGACCTCCTAAATTTAAGGGTCTGAGAGCCACCCAGAGCTGAGCTCAAGGAGACAGCTATATGTGTGGAGTCATAGGCATGGTGGAGGGAGAGGGCCAGGTCCCACTGAAGAGGGCAGGATGAGGGGTCAGGTCAAAATCTGGCCCACCACTTACCAGCTCTGTGACTTTGACAGTTTTCTTAAAGTTTCCTCATCTGTGGAGTGGGGCTTCCGGCAGCTCCTACCTACATCAGGATTTGTTGTGATGGTTTGAGTTCGTACACAGAAAGAGCTAACATTTCAATAGTGAGAATTCAGTAAATGTCAGCTTCCTGTAATAACAATTATCATCATCTTAGCTACAGTAATTTTCTTGCCATTTGTCTCTTTCTAATTAGAATCAAGTACCTTGATAGCTGGTAAACACTTCTCCTGATGTTCTTGGAATTATTCATTTACGAGTCTGTGAGCTCTGAGAACACAGGGTCTGTGTCTCCCACCTTTGTAGTCCCGTAGTGTGGGGCCCAGCACACTGCAGGTGCCCAGTAATGTTTATCCAGTCATATGAAATGAAGAATGTATATTTTTCATGCAAAAATGCATATTTGATTGAATCCATCAAGCATGAAGGATATCAGAAGGAACTTAGACAAAAAAGAAGAAACTCCAATGGGTGTCTTTCTGTGACAATAATTTACAGCATCTTTGCTCCCAAGAAGGGAGCTCTTGCTTTCAGAAAGGAGCCTCTTCCAGAATTGGATAGTGGTCTGTGAGAAAGGGTTTCTCTATAGTGAGTCAAATCTGATACCTCCCTGGGATTTGTACACACACAACCCCAATTGAGGGTCCAGAATTTTCAGTACGGCACATCCAGGCCTGTGCGCACCTCTCCGGAAGCCTCTGTGATGTGTGCTCTGGGACCTTGCTCTCTTACTCTGGCCTGCCTCCCTCTGTCATGTTCATTTTGTCTGAAGCTCCTTCCTTACCCATTTTTCAGGGATTGTTGGTCCCTTGGATGAAGCCCACTGTTGCAGCAAGGGTCCCCCCTCCTCCCCTGGAGATAGATGCTGTGTTTACATTCTGGAAGGATCCATGGTTTCTCCTTGTGTTCTTTCTGGGGCGCTAGTCTCTGCCCTCTCCCAGATAAAAGTCAAGACATCCAGTTATATTTCAGTTTCAGATAAACAATGAATAATGTTTTTAGTATAAGTGTGTCCCATGAAATATTTCTCAAGTATTTTTATTTGCTAAATCTGGTAACCCTAGCTGTAGGAGAGCCACGTTCAAGGCCCCTATGAGCTGGGCCAAGAAGTTCTATGGCTCAGCCACGTTCTGTGCCCTAGAAGCTCAGGTCTCGGATGCTGATGCCATAGACTGAAGCCAGGCCCCGGTCCTCCAGCCAGTCCTCCGCCACTACCAGGGTAACCCTCTGTCTTCCCTGGATAGCCTTTCAACAGCGTTTGGGTGTTCTTGACTTTCCCACCTGCCATGAAAAGCCCTTAATCCTGGAGTCCAGATTCTGATCAACTCTGGGCCCCTAAGTACCTTTCATTGTCCCTCCCAGGACTCTCCTACAAATAGGCCCTTGGAGGCCTGACCTGACGCTTAGGTCCTGAGACAGGTGTGCAGAGCAGACCCCCCAGCTCAACACCAGGCTTCTGACTCCAGTCTTTGGAGTCCATCTGCATCCCAGCAGGTCCCCCTGGTGGCCAGAAGCAAACGCTTCATGTCTAGCATCTAGAGCCAAAGCATCTCCTACCCCTGGGTTCCCATTCCGGGATAGTTTTCAGACCAAGGCTCCTCCGCAGAGATGAGTGATATGTCAGGAAACCAGGGACAGGCCAGGGCCACACACATCACATTCACTTATTGGGACTCTTGTGGTCATTCACTCCTCAGGTGCTCAGGAGTCTCAGCGCCATAAGCCTGGGACAATGGCCCCCTCTCATTCCTCACAAACTTCGCCCTTACTTCCACCACAAAGTGGGTTCATTAGAGGCAGGAACAGAACCAGGAATCTCAAACACCAGGCTCCTCCCCTTAGTTCCCACCCCCTGAGTCAGCAAGCAGGGGGAGCGTGAGGGGGTCTGGGACAGCTCTGACTCTAGATGACACACCTGCCTCTGGGTAGGGGCAGTGCATATCTGAGAAGCGGGCAGGCACACATGGAGAAGACAGAGTCCACGCCCTCTGCTCCATCCCAGAAGTCACTATGTCAACTTAGCCCCTCATCACTTCACACTTTGGCAGTGGCTTCTGTCCACTCAGCTGGTTCAGTTGGCTCTAGCACGTCTCCCGGCCTCTAGAGTTGGCTCAGGCCCACCCTCCATCCTCTCCTAGGGTTGGCCATCCAACCATATCACTCCCTTCACGGCTTTTAAGGATAAAGTCTGAAGCCTTAAGGACTACGTCACATGTCCTCTGTGGTCTAGGCCCTGCTTACCTCAGCTTCTGCCTAGAAGTTTATGCCCCAGAAACACTGAAACCTCCGTGGTTACCCTCACACAGCCTGCATGTCTCGACACCATACTTTTGCTCATACTGGTCCTGCTCACAGCTTTTCTGCTCTCTCTTCTCGTATCTCCTGAGTTAAGACACAAGCCAGATGCAGTTGCTCATGCTTGTAATTCCAGCACTTTGAAAGGCCAAGGCAGGAGAATTGCTTGAGGCCAGGAGTTCGAGAGCAGCCTGGGCAACATAACAAGACCCTGTCTTTACAAAAACAAATTTTTGATGAGCTGGGTGTGGTGGTGCATCCCCATAGTCTCAGCTACCGGAGTAACTAAGACAGGAAGATCACTTGAGCCCAGAGGTCTGAGGCTGCAGTGAGCTATGATCGCACCACTGCATTTTAGCCTGGGCGACAGAGCAAGACCCTGCCTCAAAAATTAAAATAAAATAAAATAAAATAAAATAAAAATAAAATAAAATAAAAAGACACAGATAGCCCAATGGTCATCTCCCTCAGGAAGCCTTGCTGGATCCCCTAGTCTCTGCCTGGCCACTTCCTTGCACTCCCGCAGCACATGTGTTCTGTAACAGTGCATGCCTCTTACCCCTCAATTCTTGCATTTGCCACATTGAATTATAACAACCCATTCCTGTGTCCTCTCCTTTTCCAGGCAGTGGGGCCCCAAGAGCAGGGATGGTGACATGTTGACCTTTGTGTTTTCAGCACCTAGAACAGAGCTTAGCACAAACAGGTATTCAATAAATGCTTAGTGATTTGATTTAATAATTAATTGATTGATCAGTTCATTGTGAGAAGGAAGTAATATCCTTTATAAGCAGAATTTGTAGCACTTTCTTGATTCCATTGATTCTCCTCCCCACCCTTCCCTAACCTCTTTCTCAATGCTCCGGGCTGGCTGGATGACAACTTCCCATGCACCTTGCCATTGATATTCCCGTTTGATCTTGCCAGTTCTCTGTCTTGCGACTGTTTTGAATGCAGAGAATCCACCCAGTATGTGTTCATTCAGCTCCCATTAACCTCTGTGTCCTTTGCCCTCTCGGGCCCTGGGATGGAGAGGCTCACCAGACAAGGCCCTTGATCTCAGAAGTCCCCAGCCTAGAGCAGGCAGTCAGACAAATAAACAGGCAAATAGTTAGGTCCTGTGATTGCAGGACAGGGGGATGGTAGATGAACAGGCCAGCTCTCCACACAGACCACCTGGGTTCAAATCCTAGCTCCACTGCTTTCACACTGTGTAGCCTTGGAGAGGGCCCTTATCTGCATCTGTTTCCCCATGGGTAAAAGAGAGGTCACAGGATTTACCTCTTGGGCTATGTGGGGATTCAATGAATTAATTCATGCAAAGAGCTTAGCAAGAGTGCCTAGTCCATAGTAAATATTCAATACGTATTAGTCGTTATGTGACTTAGCTCAGTATGCCATGGGAGCACACAAGAGACTAGACAGATTCACAGCAGTCATAAAGGACAAAGGATCAAGAGACATCCGGAGGCAATCATTTTAATTGGAGTCTAGGAACAGGCAATTTACATGAAACACAAATGCAGTGTTCCAGGGTACTTCCTGCAGAGTTTGTCCCTGTGCCCCTCTGGGAAGCCGCTGCACCCGCATGATGTCTCTTCCCTTCCTTAGGGCTGACGACTGCTTTTGTGCATCTCGGAAGCTGGATGCAGTGGCCATCGAAGCCAAGTTTAAGCAGGACCTGGGTTTCCGGATGCTGAACTGTGGACGAACAGACTTGGTGAAGCAGGCGGTGTCTCTGCTGGGACCTGATGGGATCAATACCATGAGTGAACAGGTACAGGGGCCAAGGGTCTGAACGCTCCCCACCTCCTCCATGTGCACCAGCCCTGGCAAGACAGAGACAGCTGATGAATCCCCACCGCAGGTGTTGGGCAGAGGCTCCCCCTGCTGACGGTTTAGATTGCTTGCTTGCTTGTGTTTTTCTTCAGTTTTTAAAATATCTTAGAAAAATACTGTGGTTCATCTTTATAGAAGTAGCACATGATCATTGCAGCTGAAATGGAAAAGGGAGGAAAAATAGGCCCATTCCAGAAAGGAAATAATGCCATCACCATGTAACCATCATTTATATTTAGTATCTGTCCTTCAAGTCCTTCTTCCAGGGTTAAAATTAGTTCTCTGCTTGTCTGTCTGTTCCTGCACAGGACAAGCCCAGACAGATTTCATCAAACTTTTAGAGTATGTTTAAGATGCACAAAAGTCATTCTGGGGACCCTAGGAGGTGCCTCAGAGATAGGCAGCTATCCCCCCTAACTCCTGAAACTGAGGTACAGTGAGAGATACGTGGGCCCACCAGTCAGGGAGATACCTTGTGTGGTGAACTGTCATGGACAGAGAAAACAAACAGCAGTTATAAATGCAAGTCTCACATGGAAAGTCACAAGAGACAGATGGGGCCGCTTCTCACATGGCAGCTCATGCAGTGAGTTCCAGAGAGGGAATGACAGGGACTATTTATTTAACTACAGCTATAGTAATTTTATTGAGCAACACCAAGGAGCTCTAATACACACAAACACAAATGCAGACATACATGTATATTTATATTCTTTTTAAAACCCCAGGGATTTATTACATTTTGCCTTTTTCAATATTTTATATTAAAGTTCCTTTGCAATATTGTTGAATATTCTTTTTTTTTTTTAAGAGATGAGATCCCACTATGTTGTCCAGGCTGGCCTTGAACTTTTAGGCTCAAGAGATCCTCCTGCCTCAGCCTCCTGAGAAGCTGGGACTACAGGTGTGCACCACCACATCCAGCTTATTTTTATATTTTTTATAGACACAGGGTCTCGCTACACTGCTCAGGCTGGTCTCGAACTCTTGGCCTCAAGGGATCCTCCCACCTTGGCCTCCCAAAATGCTGGGATTACAGGCATGAGCCACTGGGCCCAGTGTCTTTTTTTTTAAATCACTTTTAATGGCTACACAAAATGGTCATTATTATTTATTCATTGACCAGGCCTCAATTGTTGGAAATTTAGGTCGTTTCAAATTATTTTTATTAATAATGCTAAGCTAAATATATTTACACGAGTCTTTGTTCAAATCTGTGATTATTTCATTAGGGAAATTTTTTAAATGCAAATAGTGGCTCAAACGCACCCGCTTTTCTTAAGGTTCTCAATCTTAAATTACTTTCCCAGAACTTTTGTTTCCTTTTACACACCCTCCAGCTATATGTGTGTTCACTATTACTGTTCTGCTTATCTTTCGCCTGTTTTTCATTAGAGCTTTACTGTTTTTCTTCTTTATTCAGGAGTGCTGTTTACGTATTAGGGACATAATCCTTTGTTATAATGTGATAAATATGCCTCAATTCTTTGTTTACCTTTTGATTTTGCTTATAATGTTTTCAATTACACGTCCTCAATGCTGTAATGATTTTCGTTTGTGATTTCTTCCATTCCTTTTGTGCCTAGAAAGAGATCCACAAACCAGTTAGGTATCTTTTATGGTTTTAATTTTTGCTGTATATCTCTAATCAAACTAGAAATGATTTTGATGTGTGGCGTGAGAAAAGTCTCTAATTTGGATGTTTTCCCAAATAACCGAGTTCATGACACTGTTTGTTGAAAATCCATCCTTTCCTTCTGTTGGTTGTGATGCTTCGTTTACAGAAACAAGGGTCATTGGTGAATCTGGTATTCCTGAAGGCCATTCCTCATTCACTTGCCTTTTGCTTGCAAATGACCATGTCAAACCAGATGCAGTGATGGGCAACGCCACACGCTCAGAGGCACTCAATTTCCCTTGATGCTGACCAGCAGCTTTTATAGAGCAAAGATGACACTTGTTATATTGTGAAAGAGAAAATGTCAGATAAACAGTGTTTACCAATGAGGTAGCTTAGGGCTGATAATGCAGAATCAATCTAGAAAGTTCCTAAGAGCTTTAAGGGTTTAACAAACACCCTTAGGTCTGTTGCACCCTGAGACAGGCAAAGGAACGAAAATCCTCCAAGGCAAGGAAAGATAAATGCTGAAAAGGCCGTGGAGGCTTCCTCATCGCCTCTATTTTGGTTTCCACATGTGGAGGGTTGTGACCTTACGAGTCGCAGCGCTGCACGTTTATTTTTGTCATGCCAGAGCACAAGCATGGTCTCCGAAACACAAGTAAGATTTTTCATTTGTTATCGTCGACTGACCACGGCCACCTTGTAAACGTTCTCTGTTCTCTGGTTTTTAACTCACCACAGGGCATGACTCCCCTGATGTATGCCTGCGTCCGTGGGGACGAGGCGATGGTTCAGATGCTGCTGGATGCCGGAGCTGACCTGAATGTGGAGGTGAGGGTGCAGAGGCCTGCAGGGCCCCTCGGCCGGCAGTCTCCAGGGGAAGGCGAGCAAGAAAGGGAGGCTATTTCTCCCAAGAGCTGCCGCTGAGGGTGCACAGTGCAACACATAGATCCTTCCTGTGTCCTTTTAGTTGCTGTGGCCCTGGTGAGACCACCATCCTGAGGCCCCAGCTCAACCAAACCCCAAGGAGCTGCCTGCATGTATGTTATGTTTAAAAACAACCAACATAACCGCAAGGAGCACTGGCTTTTCCTTGACTCGGCCGTCCCGATTTCCAGAGTTCCCGATTCCCACGGCTGATCCATTTCTTCTAGGATGGGGCAGAAAGAGCACTCCTGAGCCATCAGCCCTCTCTTTCCACTGAACACACAGCAGAGGAGGCACTGACTCAATCCCTACACTGAAGTCTCCCTCCTGCAGATCCTCCATGCTCCCCCTCCAAACCCTGTTTGGCTCACCTTGTTGGCTGAGTTGACAGATCTTAAAGCTAATCTCAGAGCTTCCCTGAGACAATGTGGTCTGGTGGAAAGCATGTCCCCCCAAAAACCCTGCCCTCCCTTCCCCCCTGCAACACTGGCCTTAGAATCTGACAGATTTGGGTTCAAGTTCGGATGCCACCACTGCCCTGGTGACTTGCTTTTGTGCTTGGGCAAGTACCTTAACCTTTTTTCTCCCAATCTGCAGAATGGGAGAATAATCGCACCCATCTCATATAGTTGTCAGAAGGGATATAGAGAGTAAGTTTGGAACTCAGTTAATATTGGTCCCTCCACCCACACCCCAACCTCGTCATAGGTGAAATACCACCTTTTTACCATGTTCTGCGCTGCCTGAAGACCTGCTCTCCCTGGCGGCAAGATATTGGCAGTATCAGACAGCAAAGAGATTGATGGGCTGAAATCATCATTCAGCAACCCTGGGAAACCTTTTCAGTTCAAAATTAGATGCCCTTGCAGTCTCAGTACTGAGTGTGTGTGTTTTTTTAAATGTGAGTTTTATATTTATCTGAGAAAAGCAGACAATAGACATAGTTTTGGATCCAGAATCATTTTGGATCCTATAACTTTGGAATCTGTGGGGATTTTCCCTCCTGCTGTGAATCCTTAAGCACCATGCAGACCCGCGCAAGGGGTCCTCAGCGTTGGGTTCTAGGGCATTCTCGGGTCCTCTCTAGCCCATCCCACGGATCTCAGCTCAGGCCTTCCTCCGGTGGATGCTTAGTGAACCAAACTGCTCTGAGTGAAGCAGGCATTGAGGTTACATGACCCCAGGAGTGTTTGGGAGAAAAGCTCCATGTGGGTGCTGCTCTTGCAAGAGCCTAGCCTTCAGCTGCCCTGTCTCTTCTCTCTTGGCCTGCAGTGTTTTGAGGCCCCCATCCTGAAAGCCCAGTCTCAGATTGTTCATTCGTGATGTGTCCTAGAAAAGCTTCATGCCCATATTGCGGTAGCACCAGAGGGTCCTTGTCAACCAGGAAGCCAGCAGAAGAGTGAAATGAGAACAGGGTAGGGCCAGTTGTGATCAGACGGTGAAGTTCCTCCATCAGACGAGTGATGGACTTCCCTGGCTTGAAAGCTGAAAGCAGACCGTCCCTTGCCTGGGGTTTGCCACCACTGAGAATCTCTCTTAAAAGTATGGATGGCATGGTAGTGGCATCTCATGCTCTCTGACATCCTGTAGCTCCCAGAACCACCACCCTCTGTTAGGTAGAAAGAGGAAGGAGACAGGCCAGAAAGCTGGCTCATTGTAATCGCCATTACAGCTTCTCCAAAGCACCTTAGAGGCGATCAGAATCATCCATTATTTCCTTTCAGAGAAGCAAAGGGGTCCTTATGCACAGAGGACGTAAAGTCACTGAGACATTTTCTCACTGCCTTCAAGGGTAAAATCTCCAAAACACGGACTTCCAGTGTCCTGGCTTTGGGGAATTGCTTTGGTCTTTGTTCTTACAAACACAAACAGGACAGATCCACAGCTTTGGTGAGACGTGTTTGGAGCATCCAGCAGTGGAAAATCCCTGCCCTGTATTGCCAGCTCTGCCCAAGGCATCCTCCAGGATGTCTTTTTGTCCATCTCTAGCCCATATGCCCAGCCACAGATAGGTCAAATTTGCTAGCCTAAGTATTGTGAAGGTCACATTTTGAAAATAACTTCAATTTGTTTATAGGTTGTCAGTACTCCTCATAAATATCCATCCGTCCACCCCGAGACCCGCCATTGGACGGCTCTGACTTTTGCTGTGTTGCATGGACATATTCCTGTAGTTCAGGTATTAACGTATTTCCCTATCCACATCTGACCTTTGATTTTACCTCTTCCATAACACACATCTGTACCTCTCCCAGCATGCATATTCTCTAAGACATTCATATTGGTTAACTGCAATTCAATATAGCATATTCATATCATGTGAATAAAAATATTATATGTAGTGATCTATATGGCCAGGCTTTAACCAATATGAAATGATCACGTATCCACACACAGCCTCACACACAGAGTGACAGACCCATGAAGTTCTTCCTGGTTGCTCTGGGGTGGGGCCTCAGCTGTTTTCATGGATTTGTTCATTTTGCTTGTTGCAACATGAACATGGTTGCTACTGATATCTTAGAACCTTCCCTTAGGTGTGACCCCTGGTGTTTGTGTAGAATCCAGTGGTTTCCAGCCAGTGGGAGGAAGCATCCAAGACACCAAGGGAGTGTTTCCAAAAGACACTTGCTTGGATCCCACTTCTTGAGAATCAGATCCAGGAGGTCTAGAGTAGGGCCTTGGCTATGTGTCTTCTGAAACAGCTCCAAGCACAGTGACGTGTCCTCATTGGAGGTCCTTTGGGCATATAAATGTGTATTGCTTGCACTTTTTCTGGCTGTTGTAGTTGCTGTTCAGTGAACAGCCATACAGTACATTCTAAATCATAAGCGTGATCTTTACTTCATCAGAAAAGAGAGATCAGCATCCGAGTTCATGACCACACCTGGTCCTGTAGTGAGTGCTGCGCTTTGGGCACATCAGGAACTCACCTCCTTTTGTGTGGTCTATGCCTCTTGATTCCATGCAGAGCAGGGACAGTTCTGCAATGCTGGAATTTTATGGGAATCCTTTGTTGTTTCCTAGGTCATGAGAATCCTTAGAACAGATCCCAAGTCATGTTTCAGGAGGCTGAGAGTGTGATGTGTCACACTGAGAGCTGGCTTCTGCCTATAGAACAGTATGCCCAGTCCACTCCTGGTAGAGGAAACTAAGAAAGAAGGGGTCGGATGGTGGTCTGGTGGACACAGATGTCATTCTTTAACATGCAAGGACATTCTCAACCTTTAAATCAGGAATGGGAACAGTGAGCAGCCAAGCAAAGTCACACAGAAGTCAGGCCACCTCCCTGCCGCAGGGCCAGCGATCACGGAGTGCCAAGTAGGTGGCTCCCCCATGGCCGTGCCCTCAGGGAGCCCTAAGTAGGCAGTAAGGATAGCAGATTTTTCCCCCATTTTCCATCAGCAGTGCTGACAGCACATTCACTGTGAATGAGATCCAGCATGAACAGAATCCCTGCCTCTTTAGGAAGCCCAGCTATCTCAGGGAATGCACAGAATGAAGTAATATGAAGCAAAACTTCTGGAAGCTCACTCTGCCACTTTATTAACTGATCTTGCTGGCCAGAAACCTTAGCATTTGCTAAACTGTCCTCAGGGCCATCCAGGTGGGGCCCTGGGGGCCCCCCAAAGTCCTTCAGAACTCTTGAGAGTCTGTGGTTCTACGAGGCTACCCTAGTGCCCTCTGAGGCTTTGTGTAACCAGCCCAAGAGGGGAATCTTCCAGCATTCCTGTGCCAAGGACCTTTAGCCCAGTGCTTCCAGAAATGTTAATGTATGTACACATCCCCTGGAGATCTTGTTAAAATGCAGACTCTCATTCAGTAGACCTGGGTGGGGCCTGAGAGTCAGCATTTCCCACAAGCTCCCAGGTGGTGCTGATGCTGTTGTGCATGGAACACACTCTGAGTAGTCTGGGGTTCTAGCAGCAGTGAGAGGCTCTCAATTCATCCTCTGAGGTACAGTTGCCCTTCAGCCTGTGCACGCGGTCACCGACCCAGAGGGAGGGAAGGAGCGCTGGCATCTCACCGATCCCAGCAGTCTTTCCTGATGCCTGTGCACAGTGTATCTCCTCTCACCGTCTCGATGGCCGCTCTTCCTCCGCAGCTCCTTCTGGATGCTGGGGCCAAGGTGGAAGGCTCGGTGGAGCACGGCGAGGAGAACTACTCGGAAACGCCCCTCCAGCTGGCAGCTGCTGTAGGTAAGAGCTGCCAGTTCTCACCCTGGCCAGGGAGCTCCAGCGCACCCTGGCCCTTGAAGTGCCTGTGACTATATTTTTGCTTTATTCTCTTATAAAACCCCCTTCTCTGGGCTTGCAGGAAATTTTGAGCTGGTTAGTTTGCTGTTGGAGCGTGGTGCCGATCCCCTGATAGGAACCATGTACAGGAATGGAATTTCTACAACCCCCCAGGGTGATATGAACTCTTTCAGCCAGGCTGCAGCCCACGGACACAGGTAGGCTAGGATGGGCCAGAGCCAGAGATCCCGAGTGGTGCTTGTTAAAAATGCAGATTCCCAGGCCTACCCCAGACCCATTGTCTCTCTGGATGTGGGGCCCAGAGGCAGTGTGAGGTGGTCCAGGCCCCGGGCCTGGCCAGAGCGACCCTGCCTGCCAGCTGACAGCCAGCTCCATGCAGTGCACATCCACTCAGAATGCCTTATTTTACCCGCCCCTGGCCAGCTTTAAACTCACGGAGAGACGTCACTCTTGGTTGGTTTTGCTCAGAGCACGTCATGTCAGCTGCTGTGAAGTATAAGAAGCCATTTTAAAAATAATAAAACCTTTTGTGTTTGGTGACTTCCCTTCTACATCTCCTTCAGAATTTCCCCCCTGATCATCAGCTTTCATTACACATAACCCCGAGAGAAGCACATTCACTGTGGAGGGAGGGCAGGCTGACGGTGACAAGTGCAGAGTTCTAGAGCCTTCTAGATTTTTGAGGAAATCACTTAGCTCCAAGTTGCCTCAAGGAAACAAGGCCAGTCATGCCCCATCATCTCCTCCATCCTCAAAACGTGACACCCACTGTTAGGCCTCTGAAAGTGCCACCCGTTGTTCTCGTCATCCTCCCACCCAAGTTAGTGGCCCCCTGCTTCCCCAGCCTGCCCTTGCCCTGCCCCAGCAAAGCCACTTCCATCTCTGAGTGTCATCCTCTCTGGGTTTATGATTGACAGGAATGTGTTCCGCAAACTGCTCGCCCAGCCAGAGAAGGAGAAGAGTGATATCCTGTCCCTGGAGGAGATTCTGGCTGAGGGGACTGACCTGGCAGAGACAGCCCCGTCCCCCCTGTGTGCCAGCCGCAACAGCAAGGCCAAACTGAGGGCCCTGAGGGAGGCCATGTATCACAGCGCTGAGCATGGCTACGTGGATGTCACAATTGATATCAGGAGCATAGGTCAGTCTGGGCACCCTCCACCACGGGCACCATGGTGCCGCCAGCTTTAGGTCCACATGCACATGAGCACGCATGCACGCACACACACACATGCAAAACACGCACATGCACACACACACAAGGGGGCCCAGGGAGCCTCCCGTTTACCAGTTGAAACACTTCCAGGCCAAGATACCCACACCATCCCCATAGATAGCGTCCTGCCTGCCCCAAAGACCCGTCCTCAGACCATCTTTCCATGATTCCCAAACACTGGACCCTGGGGCAGGAATTCAAATCACCTGGGGAACTGGTCTGAATACCGATTGCCAGGCCCTACACCCAGAGGCTCTGCTGTCGAGGGTCTGGATGGATAAAGGCTGGAAATCTTTATATTTAACAATCATCCCAGGTGGTTCCCAGTGGTTGAGGAATCACTGCCTTTAGAGCAGCCAAGTCCACGAAGCAGCACTGGGCAGTTGTTAGGGTGAGGGCGCCCCTTTCTTACTACAACTCCTCTTGAGCTTCTGAGGGCAAATCCACTCTCAGGAAGGTTGAGCTGGCTCTTCCTTGGGTGAGCTAGCCCAGAGCCATCTCCTCCGTGTGTCTGGGGAACAAGGCTAGCCTAGCCTTCACCAGCCTAGTGGCTTTCGCTCTGGCTTGGAAACAGCCGGACCTAGCCATGGGTCCCTAAACACAAGGTGTGGCAGCCTTAAGGCAGGCTGAGGGCTGAGGAAAGACTCCTAATGCTGTTCTGGAAACGACCTCTCTCTCCAGGGAAGGTGGGGAGGGGTTAGTATGTGAAACATTTGTGCTATTGCCCTGGGAGCCCATTTTGCATGATTGTGAAGCTCGAGATTCTGAATGGGCTACTCGTTATAAACAGTAGCGAGACTCCTCGTCCGTCTGTGCCTCTGCATGAGAGGGGAGAGGCAAATTACAGCAATCAGCTGCCGGAGAGGCCCCTGTTAAAGGAGGAAGACCCGATGAAGTACCTGCAGATGGAAATCTGGTTTTGCACAGAGGAGCGGCAGGAATATCCTCCCATGTCTTCTTATTCGGGTGTGAATATCTGTCTTAGCCGGAGCTGTAAATGGTGAAGTCCACCAACGGGTTTCACCAGCTCTAAGCTCTCATCTGGGCATGGATGTGTTCCAGATCCTTGGGCACATCCACTCTTTAATCCTGGGCAAGACTCTTCTCCCCACTGAGCTTCTTTCCCCAGTAAGTAGAGGGGATGGAGCCTATGCGCTCAGAATCCAGAAGTATGGAATATGCATAAGTAGCATGCATAATAATTCCAATATACTACACGATGATTATATCTTGTGAAATGCAGCCCCTAATCATATGAGTAGCATGCAGAGATGGACACCCATAGTTGAGGGATTATGACCTTTAATTTCAACTTTTGCAGGTCTTTGGGAAAAAGTCTACGCTTGTTCTATTCGTTGGAAGTCAATCCCTTGGTCTCGTCATTTAGTAATGTCCTGGGGAAAAGCCAACTTCCAGATAAAAACTCGCCTACTCCTCTGGTTGTTTTCTGCCTTTCCCCTCTCTCTCCCCCTCCCCTGCCACCTTCCCTGGCTCCTCTTCCCGCTACAGGCGTCCCGTGGACTCTACACACCTGGCTGGAGTCTTTGCGGATCGCCTTCCAGCAGCACCGCAGGCCTCTCATCCAGTGCTTGTTAAAGGAGTTTAAGACCATTCAGGAGGAGGAGTACACGGAGGAGCTCGTGACCCAAGGCCTGCCCCTGATGTTTGAGATCCTGAAAGCCAGCAAGGTATGTGGGGTTTGAGGCTGTTGTGGTCATCGGCAGAGAACAAAGCCGGAGGTTCCCAGATCTGAACGGTATTTTAGCCTGGTGTTCCCCTTTGAGTGGGATCACTATGGTCATAGCACCCAGTGGCGAATGTACCCCAGCAGACAAAAGCTACCTGTGCACTCATTTGTGGGGCAGCTGTCTTGCTGAGCATCTGCATGAGCTGAGGCACTTGGGCACATGGGCACATGGACAGCTTAGATACCTTCTAACTCAAGGAACTTGCAGAAGAGCTAGAAAGATGATACCAACATGTGTGCCCCAACAGCATTATGAGACAGTTGATAAGACAGTATTAAATGTGGGGGTGCAGGCTAGGACAGGTGTGGGAATTCAGGAGGGAGTAATGGGAGGGTGGGCCCCCCTGAGGTGCTGAGACTAAACCATGTCAGGATGGACGATAGAAATCAGTAGGATGAGGGAAATGGGTGCAGCTTTCTGGATAAATAGAACACAGACCCTGCTGAGGTTTCTGGAAAGCCAGGCCCTGGGAGAAGGCTTTTCAGGTCGAGAGGGTCAAATGAACGTAGCTCTGACCTCTTGGGATTTACCCCTGCTGACGCCTATATCCCCAGCAACAGGGAAATGCAGCCTCTTCCTAACAGCAGTCCAGCCTTTCAACTATGACAACATTAATTCTTAAAAATCTCTTTGGGGTTGTTTGGTGATGCTCTCTAGACACTCCAGTCCCCACAGGACCCCAGCACCAGCCCTCTCACCTCTTTGCCCCAGAACAGCCTTTGTGGAACTCTGGGGTCTACCACGGAGCCTGGGAAGTCTCAGTGGAAATTGGCCTCTGAACCAAAGGGCAGTGTGGGTCCCCCTGCCAAACTGGGCTGCGTGACTGTCCATGGGGCGTTAGAGGGGACATAGGGCTGCTTCCTCCACACAGCAGGGACAGCCCTTCCGTAAGGAGGCAGCAACACAGCATCTCTGCTTTCGGAGCTCTGGGCCTTGGGTGGAAAGCAAGTCCCATTAGGTGTTCTCATTAGCACCTGTCCTTAGCCTGGTGTCCCGGGGCCATCTGCAGGCTGGATTTGTGCTTAAGGTCAAGACCCACCAGGACCCCAAATGGGAGCAGGTGCATCAGGCCTAGGATAACAAGCTTCAGCGAGTCCATGAGGAGTAAAACCTGCTGGAAGCATTTCAAAACCAAACTCCCTGCCCGACTTAAAAATAAGTAAATGAATAAAGAGGCTTTCACCTGAAATCACCTAAGAAACTGTCTTAATGAGAAACATGACTGGGTCTGTTCCCAGGGTCTGGTGTTCAATCATTTTTGAGGTTTTCTTTGTCTGTTTGTTGTTTTCAACTTTTCTTCAGGCTATACTGGGAATTCCAGAATGTATTGAGACATTCTGTTTACTAAGTAAACCTAAACTGTGAGTTCTAAAACTTTACTTTGAAATATGGCATATGTACAGAAAAGTAACCAGCTCATAACTACAAAGCCAAATGAATTTTCAAAAGATAGACAAACTGTTCAATCCGCATCCAGACCAAGAAACGGAACATGACTAGCACCCGAGTGGTCCCCTCACGCCCTGCTCTGCTGCTATCCCCCAAAGGGCCGCCACTCTCCCGATGTCTAACACCACACTTTGTTTTGCCTGGAGCCACAAGTGTGTTTGACTTGGACAGCTCATTAGATAGGAAATAGTTCTCAGAACCTGAACCCATGATTATAAGAATCTACAGGCTGCAGCGTACAAACTACCCTCCATTCACAGAAGTGGTGGGTGCTCCCATCGTTTAATAGTCAGTCATTTGAAAATCAGGTTGACTGGGTACGGGGGCTCATGCCCATAATCCCAGCACTTTGGGAGGTCGAGGTGGGAGGATCGCTTGAGCCCAGGAGTTTGAGATTAGCCTGGACAACATGATGAAACTCCATCTCTACAAAAAATACAAAAACTAACTGGGCATCGTGGTGTCTCAAGAGGAGGGAGGCAGTGAAGGGTGTTTTGCTTTTACAGGGGGTTCAATGGCATCCCCTACTGGTGAAATGTGGCTTTACACATCACATGAACTGACCACGGGCCCCGGGGGAGGTTAAAGAGGAAATCAGTTTCCCTGAGCCTGCAGGGTGAAATCACCCATTCCCCAAGCACAGCGGACATTCTTATGGTCAAAAGAAAAACTGGAGAGAGATGATGGCAGAGAAATTCCAAGTTGAGAAGACAGTCTCCTGTTGGACGATAGGGCGGCCATCCATCACATAGCCAGCCGGCATTGTTCCTTTTCCCTGCACTCTAGGATTCCTGTTCAAATGTTTGTCCAAACAAATATCTTTTTTTTTTTAAGACAAAATCTCGCTCTGTCGCCCAGACTGGAGTGCAGCAGTATGATCTTGGTTCACTACAACCTCCACCTCACAGGTTCAAGCCATTCTCGTGTCTCAGCCTCCCAAGTGGCTGGGATTACAGGCATGCACCACCATTCCTTGCTAATTTTTGTATTTTTAGTAGAAACAGCGTTTCACCATGTTGGCCAGGGTGATCTCGAACTCCTGATCTCAAGCAATCCTCCCATCTCAGCCTCCCCAAGTGCTGGGATTACAGGTGTGAGCCACTGCTTCTGGCCAAACATCTTGTTTTATCAGAGTAGTGAATAGATTATTGCCAATAAACCACTTTATGGTCAATTTATAGAAACAGCTGTCCTGTAAAGTGAGGCATATTCCTGCCACCATTCTTGGTTTGTGCTCACTCAAACCATACTTGAAATCTGACCGCACATCTGCTTCTATGTTCTTGCTTCTAAATTTGAACTTCAAATGAATTCAGCGTCTCCAGACTTCCCCAGGAGCAGAACAATATATGCATTTTTTAAAATACATCTGTTTAAAAAGAGTTCCCAATTTCTTTTTCTTTTTCTTTTTTTTTTTTTTAAGATGGAGTCTTGCTCTGTTGCTCAGGCTGGAGTGCAGTGGTGCAATCTCAGCTCACTGCAACCTCTGCCTCCTGGGTTCAGGCAATTCTCCTGCCTCAGCCTCCCAAGTATGCTGGAAACTACAGGCGCGCGCCACCACTCCCAGCTAATTTTTGTATTTTTAGTAGAGACGGGGTTTTACCACATTGGCCGGGATGGCCTCAATCTCTTGACCTCCTGATCTGCCTGCCTTGGCCTCCCAAAGTGCTGGGATTTCAGGTGTGAGCCACTGTGCCCGGCCTCTTTTTTTTTTTTTTTTTTTCTGACAAAGTCTCACTCTGTTGCCCAGGCTGGAGTGTAGTGGCCCAATCTCTGCTCACTGCAGCCTCTCCCTCCTGGGTTCAAGCGATTCTCGTGTCTCAGCCTCCTAAGTAGCTGGGATTACAGGCACCCACCACCATGCTTGGCTACTATTTGTATTTTTGGTAGAGACAGAGTTTCACCATTTTGACCAGGCTGGTCTCGAACTCCTGACCTCAGGTGATCTACCTGCCTCGGCCTCCCAAAGTGCTGGGATTACAGGCATGAGCCACCACATCTGGCCTCTAGCTTATTTTTCTAACACGTAATTCCTCTAGGCATAATCAAGAGATAATCAGGAGTGCTCACTTGGTTCCAGGCACTACTGTGGTGATGGGAGAGACATGTTCTTTATCCTCCTGGAGCTTACTGATAGGGAGCAAGAAAATAAATCAACAAAACAGAGTCAGAGCATGATCAGTGTTTACAAAATGAAATTGGACCATTATGGTCTCTGGGGGTGGGGCTGGTGAGGTCTAACTTAGACAAAATGGTCAGGAAGTTTTCCCTGAGAAAGTGGCATTTGAACAACCACCTAAGTGAGGAAAAGCTTCCAGCCATACAGAGATCTGGGGCAAAAGCATAAGAGAACTGCAGGTGATTAGGCTCCTAGTAGGAACATGTTTGTGTGCTCAAAGGAAAAAGTGTAGGAGATAAAAATCAGATTGCACTGGGCCAGGGAAAGTTTGGGTTTTCTTCTATGTGTAATGAATGGGACACGACAAGCGAGGTTTTAGATTGGGGCAAAGTGTGATCTGTGGGGGTTTTTTAAAATTTTTTTTTAAGTTTTTAAGATTTTCATTTTGTGATGAAAAACTCAAAACTTAAAATGTTTCTGTTTTTAAACTTTTTATTTTAAGATAATTATAGATTCATGCAGTTGTAAAAAGTAATACAGAGAGATTCCTGTGTACCATTTACACAGGGGGATCTCAGTTTCTCCCAACAGCAATATAAAACTATGGTAAAATATCACAACCAACATAGTGACATGATTGTCAACAAGCAGAAAATTCCCATCACCACAAGGATTCCTCATGTTGCCCTTTTAGAACCACACCCACTTCCATCCTGCCTCCACCCGTCAGCCCCTACCTAGCCTCCATTTCTCTAATTTTGTCATTTAAAGAATGTGATTTAAATGGAATCATACAGTATGTAATTTTGGAGATTGGACTTTTGGCACTTATCATAATTCTCTGAAGATCATCCAGGATGTTGCATGTATCCACAGCTTGTTCCTTTTCATTTCTGCGTAGTATTCCATGGAATAGATGTACCCCAGTTTGCTTAAGCACACAACTGTTGAAGGACATCTGAGTTGTTTCCAGTTTTAGGCTATCACAAGTAAAGCTGTTACAAACATTTATGCACAGGTTTTTGTGTGAATCTATCTTCATTTCTCTGGTATAAATGCCTAGGAGTACAACTGCTTGGTTTTACGGTAGTTGCATGTTTGGTTTTTAAATAAACTGCCAAACTGTTTTCAAAGTGACTGTACCCTTTTACATTCCCACTGGAAAAGACTGAGTAATTCAGTTTCTCCATATCCTCACTGTTTGGTGTTGTCACTATTTTTCATTTTAGCCATTCCGATAGGTATGTAGTGATATCTCATTGTAGTTTTAATTTGCATTTCCCTAAATGTCTAATGATGTTGAATATATTTTCATGTGCTTGTCCACCATCTGTATATTCTCTTCAAGTGAAATGTCTCTTTGTGTCTTAAG